ACACGTCTGAACCACTCGGAGCCCGCGTACAAAGTCTCTTCACGTGATGATGCTGATAGCCTTTCCTTTTCCACTCTTTGTGGTGGGTACTTGTACTTGTGCTCTCGTTGCTTCTTATGAGCGGTCGGTGGGTTATGTGTGTTACGTTCATTATTTTTCTTTTTTAATACGTGTTTCACGGCGCTCACAACTGCATAAGGTCAATATGAGCGAGCGGGACACATTGAACATTTTCAGTTTGGAAAGAATTAATGTTGGATTTTGCTCGGGTGGCAGCCGAAACCTACTCTAATCGATTTTAAGACAACACTGGATCTTTAACGAGCACAACTTGCACACGGGACGCCCTTACCCGAGAAGGCTAGGTGTTCGATCTTACTTACCCTAAGATCAGGGTTGTGGCTGAAAGACAGCAGTAAGAAAGCGCCAAGGAATAGTACATGTGGTAGAAAGGCTGCAGAAAGAGTCAGGAGCCCAGTGGAGGGAGAAAGATGGCAGAAAATGGAGACGAAAGCAGGCGGCAGAACATAGTTAGAGAGCAGGAAAAGATTGAAAGGAGAACATAATTTTGGAGAAGAAAATGTTTCCTTCGCTGTCAGGATTCGGAACCGGGACCTATTGAACGAGAGGCGAACACCACAACCCCTACACCACAGGAGCTCACCCTGTGGGTTATGGCGTGCGCTCTGTGGGTTGTTATGTCTGGCACTCCCGTGGTTTGTACGGGAGAAAATCAGAACCGCGCACTTTCGTAGAAAAACTATCAGAGCCACTTTTTTTGCCAATTGCCAAAGCCAATATCATCCAATAATTCAAGGCTCCTTTGCATTTTACTGGGCTTGGGGCCAGCATTTTTTAAAATATATAAATGACACCGCTGATACACATTCCTTCTGTCGTCATTACTAACGGTCTGAGTAATTGCAATTTTTAGCACACTCGCTGTACTCTTATTAGTTTTATATCTACATGCAGAAAAATATCCTAAAATGATTTTAAATACAAGACATACAAATGTCGCCAGATTTGAAAACTACTTGTATTTTTTATATGGCAACAAACAAACACACTTCATTCACTGTGTCATTTGACTCAACTGAAAAGTAGTTTTTCTGGCACTGAATTTTGTGAAAATAGTACAAAGCAATTTTGTCAAGGGAACTAGATCTACTGTAACCGTTGATAGAGTCAATAATCTAATTGCATCGATGTCGTCAAAAAGTGCGTGGCTCTGACTGGGCGCGGCTTTGACGGTTACCCGTTTGTACATGTACACGGTGTATGTTTATGGTGGGTTGTCTTGATTGTTTTTTGGTTGGTGGATTTTCTTGTTGGATTAGTTTAATAGTCTTAGTAAGAGTTCTTCGGCACTTGCAACACATTTAGGTAATATGATATAACTATAAGTGCCGAATATGAGAGGTGTTACTAGAGAGTAACATACAAAGAAAAATAGGAGAGATAAGAATAATAGTGATACTATCACGTCCCGCATCGCACCATCATAAGTTGTTTACTATGTTGACTTGATCCGGCAATTCCTCCAATATGTTCAATACTCACCATACAAAGTGCTAAATACTAAGGAATACAATTCTAGAATTCCAGAATCGACCCCCCCCCAAAAAAAAGAGAAAAACCCAAACAAAACAAACGAAAAAAACAACAACCCCCCCCCCCCCCACACACACACACAAAACCATCCAGTCTCTTTCTTTCGCTTTCTGTCTGTCGTCTGTCTCACTCTCCCTTTGTGACAAGCAGACCTACTTTTTTTTTTAACTGATATTTTTACAGCACTAGCAACACAATAAGCTCAAAGAGTGCCGAAGATTAGAGGTGTTATAATAGATTAACAAACCAAAAAAAAAAAAGGGGGGGGGGGGTAAGAACGATAGATGTTTGATAGGAAAGAATAACGAGGGGCAAACCTCACTCGTCAATCATCTACACTGTTCATATATAAATCTAGAATCTATATATCTAAATGTGACATGCAGGGACACTTTCTATGTTCAGAAATTCCTACCATGCGGTAAAAAGTTCGTGGCGCAACGTATCCTCAAATTTAATATCTCTTTAACGGGTGAATCAATGTCATCCATACTTTGCACAACAGTTTGTATCAATTTGTCTTACCACAATCATATTTTCCCACAACAGTTGAGGCTAGATTAAAAAACTTTTCTTTATGAATTTATATCAAATACTATAAATCTCCGTCACGCGGTAAACGGAATTGTTCACAGCACTTCCCACTTCTCACACTCTATGGCCTACGTCACAGCTCATCATTGACGCTTTTAGTAGCAAAACTTGTTACAAGAAATTAATTGTATAGCCTAATGAACGTAGGGCCTACTTTTTGCACTTAAGTTTCTCAACGCATGCGCTCAATAAGCATAACCTCGTGATTAGGAAAAATGACGGAATTGCTTTTAAAAGGTTTACAGCTGGGGCAATATCTGTTTTAAAAGCAAGTCCGTCAGTTGTTGTTTTTTCTCTTATCGTGACACTATCTTTAACGAATGCATGTTGTGAGAACCTTAAGTGCAAAAAAAAAAAGTGTTCTCTATAAAATCAATTTCTCGTAACAAGTTTTACCACTAAAAAGTGCCATTGGTGAGCGGTGACGTAGGCCATGTACACGTATGCAAAATGTGAGTAGCGGGAAGTGCTGGGAACAATCCTATTTTCCGCGTGACGGAGAATTAAAACACAGGGTTATTAAAAAATCATACGCCAAAATCATCGAGCCTATTAAAAAAAAATTAAACAATAGAAAACTTTAGCTTGGACACGTGTTGTACACACATGTACCTTCAACTTCAAGTTTTTATTTCATATTTTACAAGTGCTCAGTGTGGCCACCACCGGCAGTACGGACAACATCAAGCCGATATATTGAGAATTCCTCCCAAACGCGCCTCAGAATGTCTCAGGCCACCTTGCTGACTGAAGCTCTTGTTCGATCTTTCATGCCATCGATATTTGCTGGAAGTGATGGAATATAAACTTTATCATTAACATACCCCCCCCCCCCAAAAAAAAAGAGGTCACATACAGTAAGGTCTGGGGATGTGGCAGGCCACCCGCAGAGAGCGAGGCCTTTAGCACCTCTCCCTGGCACGATTTCATTCAGATAAGCAAGAACCCGGATGTGTCAATGGGCGTTGGTCCATCTTGAAAAACGATTTGAATCTGCGTGAACTAAAGTGGATAGCCACTCTTTGTTGTATACCTTATATTTCTAGCGTGCAGTTTCGTATAAAAGGAAAACAGCCTCCCTCCCTAAAAAACAACAACAACAACAAAAACAAAACAACCGCCCCCCCCAAAAAAAAAACTAACTAAAAAAATATAGAAACAAAATATGAATAAAAATTATGTATACATTATATACATATATGTATAGATCAATGCCATTGTTAATTTTGAAAAGCAATACCATAACCATCTATTACTGCCAGTAAACGTAGTTTAGATAAACCCATAGGTCAGTCTAGCATGCCCAAAGCAGAAAAAACCCACACATACTAGAGAGATACAGATCCCAATTACTTTTCTAATTCTAATATTACATTTTTTTGGTATCAAAAACACACATTTAGTGTTCACATATATAGTAAAGAATTCACTCATAGCGAAAACAAAAATAGCACCAGCGAGGGAAGATAATATAATTAAATTGCTCTCCTTTACAACTTCACCAAGACCAAACTTTGCAGAACACTGTAGCATAGTGTGTCATCTCTGTTGAAGAGGAAGCGCACGGACACGCGTGCCTTAATGTGACCGCAGACTCTCCACACGCAAAATGACGACAACTATTTCAGTTTTCCGCCCAAATTTTAGTTTGATTTTTTTTCAGACTGATAAGCCACCCGCTGTTTTATAGTTCATTAAAAAGCAAAATACATGTATAGATCTATCTTTTCTTTCTTATATCCATATTTTCTGTATCTTTGAGCAACTGGTTGCATTTAAGTCACATTTAAGTTGCATGCAGAAAGATTGGCTGCATCAAGGGCAAACAACGGGTTGCATCGAGGGCGTGTGGTTGCACACAAGGTGAAAAAGGGCAAAGAGTATTTTCCCTCTGAAATCTTTATTTGTTTGCCTGTTTTGATACAGGCACTGCCAGGTCAAGTGTGAACAATGTAATAATAAATCAATCGACTGCTGCTAAAGAAATTTCCCTTTGGCAACTCTGAGAGGTTTATGAGCAACCACATCAACAAGTGGTTGCACAAGGGCACTTTACTCTGTAATGATGATAATGAGGAACACTTCACAAGACAAAGCCTTAAAATTGTTTGTATTTCCTTTTCGTAGTCTCCTCTATTTGCAATAGTTCTGAAGTTGTCAGGGTTTTTTTCAAAAGAGCCTTTATGTAAAACATAATAATTTAGACAGTGCACGAGATGGCGCCCAAAGATACGTTTCCAATTCAACACACACGTCATCATAATACTTTTGAGCAGTCAAGTAACAACCTGAACACCTTTTATCATGTTGTCAGCTCTCACTCTTTCAACACCACAGGTTTTCGTCCCCAATGTCTAGGCTATATGGCGCAGTGCTTGATTCGGTATGAAAACAACAACAACAACAACAACAACAACAACAACAACAACAACAACATTAACAACAACAACAACAACAACAACAAAAGCCACAAAAAACATGACGTTTCCTCTAATAATAAAAGCAGGTCCCGATTCCTTGACAAGAATGCCGGAAACGATAATTACTTTGTTCTCAATCATGCTGTCAGACTATACTCCTGATACCGACAGTGACAGAATGTCAGTGGGTCTGTGTTTTCTCAACTCTTTACAGATGTAACCGATATAGAATGTTCGATAAGCAGCAAACCGAAGGCAATGTTGTCGCAATTCCGAACCAACATAGGTAAATCAGAACCACGAATTTGCATTTTCTATTGCGTGCATGTTGTTGTTAGTTTTTAAAAAGTTTTTGATAAAGAAAACAAATTG